ATAGATAAAAAAAAAAGAATGCCATGAACAAAAAAATTTCATTGAACTTACTATCCTTCTCACTATCAAGAAATATATTAATAAAAGCTTTGAATATCTTAATGAAGAAGTTATTCGAGTATTTCAAAGCAACTAAAAGAGCATTTCGACAACCACAAAAATTAAAGTGAATAAAGAAAGGTTGAAAGCAAATAAGAGATAGACTAAAAAAAACTCTTGCATGCAAGATGTAAATTTTTTATTTTTATTTATTTTTATTTTTTTTTTACTGTATAAATTATAATTTCATATATGCCTACTTGCTTTTTTGCATTTTACTTCTTAAAAAAAGAAAAAAAAAATAGATGGATTGCAACATATAGTTTGAATTAAAGACCCTGCCATCGAAAAGTATTACCCAAGCTCTGTTAGCAAAAAGGCTTAAAAACAAGACCTTGCCAAAATAGTTGTTAAAACGGCTTATCACTCTGACAAACTATTCAAAACAGATATTGAACTAGTAACAAAAGAACTTAATGCTAATAAGCATCTACATAAAGAAGATAGGAAGGAAGATGACAATCATGTAATTAAGGTTTATACTTCGTTATGGAGATTAGAAAGAGTAATTTTTATATTTCATTTTGAATTCCTTTTTTATAATACTTGTATCGGACTAATTCTTTTTTTTACATTTCATTTTGAATTCCTTTTTTATAATACTTGTATTGGACTAATTCTTTTTTTTATATTTTATTTTGAATTTATTTCTTTTTTATAATACTTATATTAACTAATTCTTTTTTTTATATTTTATTTTAAATTCATTTCTTTTTTATAATACTCGTATTGGACTAATTCTATATTATTTTTAAATAGTGCAAAAAGATCTTTTATAAGGCTAAAGACGTAGTGTTAACAAACCAATTCAATAAAATGGTGAGGTATCAATATCGTGATGACAGTTGGAAGAATAATACCAAACTACCACTTAATACTCTCTATTAGACAATTTCTTTAACTTATAACTATAATAATAATAACAGACATTTATTGCAATTTAATAGTAATAATCTGGCAATAAATAGAATTAATGAACCTGATTCAGATAGTTTAGTATCTACGGATAGTTTGGTATCTACAGATGGCTTGGTATTTACCAGTAACAAATATATTAGATCCAATAGCAATGATAATTCTGGATGTAATAGTAATAATGCTAAGTTAGTGTAAGTATTTAAAAGTATACTTAAAATGTTTAAAATGATTATGAATTTTATTAATTTGCCATTTTTAGATTCAATAATACTAATGTTTCTAGTATTCAAAGAACTAAACAACTGTATATATTTAAAGTATATTTATAAGATTTGTAATATATTTATTAATTTTATTATTCTAAAACTAATAACTCTGAAACAAACAATTCTGAATCCAATTCCATATCTAACTCCATGTCTATATAACTCTATATCTAACTCTATACCTAATTCTACATCTAACTCTATGCCTGATTCTATACTAACTCTGCTATGTCTAATTCTATTCTTAATATATCTAACTTTATATTGAAAAGTACTCCTAAAAAAAATAAAAGCAAAACTTCTAAAAGCTCTACTAAAGATTCTATCTCATTAAAAGGTTTCTTCAAAAGCTTTTCTAAAGGTTCTTCTAAAGAATCTTTTAGAAAAAAAGATCATCTAAATGTTTCTACTAGTAAATTTAAGTATATTAATAACAAAGGTAAAGATAAAGATTATGTTAAGCAATAAAACAAAAAAATATGATTTTTAGTAATTGTATATAATTTGTATTAGTATAAATTTCAAATATGCTATGTAATTAGTATAAGTATAAATTTGTAATGCAAATGCAAATCGAATATAAATATATTTTATAAAATATAGATATAATAAAATATAAAACAATATCAGCCAACAGAAATTCTGTAAAAATTTATATATATAAGTATATATGAGGAATAAATTAATTAAAATTTTGTAAGTATTATTAAATATAATAAAGTAAAATGTGATATTAGCTAGCAGATACCCAAGTTAAATTATCAAAAATCTATATAAACTTTAAATATCTAAGCAAAAATCTATATATTTTAAGCAAAAACATATATATATAAGTATATATATTATATAAATTGCTTAAATTTTGTAAGTATTGTTAAATAAAAAATGTAATATTGCTAGCAGATATCTAAGCTAAACTATCAAAAATCTATAAAAAACTTCAATATATGATATCAGCTAGCTAATACTTAAGATTAATATAGAAACTTAAGCCAAAATAAATATAAAATAGCAGATCATCAAAACAATAAAAATTAAGAGAAAAAACATTTTCAAATAGAAGAATACAAATATTTCATATATTTTTGGC